TTTACACACAATGGATTTTCAGAAGCAGCAGGAACACGGGCTCTTTGGGAAAGTGTTTGTCTACTACAACACACTAATGGTGTCTGCTTCAGGCATCTTTCTTGGATAAACCACACTGCTTGTGCTAGGTAGTTCAATACATCTGGCTGTTTATTCAGGGACCGCTTCATCTTCAGAAGCAGGTGTATGCTAGAGCCACGGTTTTCTGCTGGTTCAGTTAGGATCAAAATCCAAGCTATTCTCATGTGTCATGGACACCATGTTATTTTGGACATTCGCGCATTAGAAAAAAAAAAAAGTTGACAATCACCAGATCAAGGCTGGGATGGAAAAATTATACTTGCCAGGCGATTAAGCCAAACGCTGAAAAAATTAATCTTGCCAGGCAATCAAGTCTGGAAAAACTACACTACACACAGTTGACCGCAACATGACCAAATTAAAGTGACATTAAAGGATAATTCTTTTCCCTTCCCCCCATGTTAATGTTAGCACTTACCTTAAAAGATGTCTCTTAATCCGATCTTCCTCTTCTTTCCCCATGTTTTCATCTGTCCCTCCAGCGGTGCGTTGGCTCTCCGATCCAGCGCTGACTCCACTCTGCAGCGGGTGCTCGCGTCCATAGGCTTACCTTGCGTCTCTGCTCATCTCCCGGCCGAGAATCCGAACTGTGCATGCGCCCGCCCCAAGATCCTTTGCGGCCGCACGAACAGTTCCGGACTCTCGCCGCGATAATAAGGTCTAAAAACGCTGTTTAAGCGTTTTTTTTTTTTTTGCCTACATCTACTGCTTGTTAGCAGTAGATATAGGCAAAAAAAGGGGAGGCTTTAGAACCCCTTTAAATGATTGTCACACAGGCCAGATAACGACTGAGAAGTAAAGACAAAACGGATGATGGCTGCATGTGTTTTTGGTAAATTCCGAGCAGGCACAGGGTTAAATCTGGATCTGATGGCTGGTTACCACCATAATACTATGCATTCTCTAGCACAGGGGTAGCCAAACTCCAGCCCTCCAGCTGTGGTGAAACTACAAATCTCATGATGCATCTCTCTCCGGGAGTCAAGTCTGTGAGAATCTTGCAATGCCTCATGGGATTTGTAGTTCCACCACAGCTGGAGGGCCAGAGTTTGGCTACCCCTGCTCTAGCATCTGATGTATAATTTAGAATGCATTCACTGGTGACTCGTTATTACAGTTATGCAATGTACCAGTGACAGGATTGGCAGCACAACTCTCCTCTGTCATGATCCGAGTGGAAAGAGGAGGGCTGGCTGCATAGTACTAGTTAAGTTCACACATGTGGTCACTACAATTAGCCATTGCAGTGACCTCACATGCTAGAGCCATTTAAACTGTCTCATTCAGTTTTGTCTTTGATCTCCGCTGTAAAATGAGGGCTGGTTTAGGCATTCAGCAGGTGCACTGGCCTCCTAAGCAGGCAGAGAGCAAAGGACAAGTCACCAGTACTACCTGTGACCTCCTGTAGCTTATCTTTCAAGCTTCCGGATTACAATGCCTTCTTCTGCAGTGTCTGTGTGGAGGCAACCATCTTGGTAGAGGCAGGGCTTAGCTTCTTCACGTCCAAGCATCCAGCAAGAAGAGTGAGCAGCATACCTCTCTACCATCCCGTTTTCAGCAGGGCTGTCCTGGGATTTAAACAAAATCCAGCCTGTGTCCTGCAGCGGGCAATGATCTAAGCACATACTGCCAGGCCGCATCTGATATTCAGGGGCATTTAACCATGCTACAAGTGCCGCAGGTTCCCGTCCCTCTTTTTCAAGTTCTCAAATTGGGAGTTATGGGACAGCACAGTAGTGACATTACCAAATCACAGTCGAAATGTTATGATACGATCAGCCAGAGACAGCAGTGCCTTCAATCTCACACTGTAGCTACAAAGCTACGAGACTGTAGGTATAGGGGGTGCCTAGACACCCCCATATACCAGGAATTACTCTGCTATTTCGCAGGAGGAAGTCCAGAGAAAGGGTATATTTTGCAAGATAATGCTTAGGCACAATTAAGATATGTAGACATTTGTACTACCACAGAAAGTCTTCACGCTTTGCATTCAGCTCCATTTTGATCTGTAGATTTATTTTTATGCGCTTGCCAGGAGTTCCACATAGATGTGACCTTTGTAAAACATGCCTGTCATAAGGCCAAACCTTGCACATCACAACTGAGTCAAGAAACTGGCCTTTGCAGCAGCTGTATCTAGGAGGCCCATTCCTCCCCGCCCGCTGGGGAATACAGAATGGGATCCTATAGACACCGCTGTAAAGCACAAACAATTGACACTACACCCGAATTAGTTCAATAAACACCCAATTGTAAAATAACCAAGAGTTCCGCTTTTAAACAACGTTTAGGCAGATGGTGTAAAAGGGGGGGGGAGCCTTCTTCGTGCAAAAAGAGAATATTGGCAGAGCAGCAATGTCCTACAGCACATGCCGGTGTCCTCCACCACCACTCCCCAACTTCCCCTCAGTCATACTTGAGGCTTTACTCCTGGGAAAGCAGTTTCCTAACTGTGCATAAACTCCATTCATACACTCACCTCAGCACGCACTTCTCACCAGCTTAGCTCTTCTCCGCGCGCGACTCCTTTAAGCAGCTGTTCAACACGTGCGGCGCCCAGGTGACGTGAAACTTGTGCGACAGCCTCCCTTCTGACAAGTCCGAGAAACGGCGTCAGCACGTGACTGCCGTGCTTCGCGCGCAGTGTAAAACATGGGGTGCCGTGCTCTTGTCAGCGTGTCAAGGGCGGTTAAGAAAATAGTATTGCACAGACAATGTAGCTGTGTTACAGTGATTGGGTGTTATATGTATATTACTTCAGTCGCCTGCTGCTCACGCATTTCCCCGCGCATTGTCTTCCTCTCCGGGTGACAGGCGCTCGGGTCGTGCTAAGCTCAGTGCCTGCACATGCCCGGATGTGAGGCGAGGGGGCGCTCTATGCTTGTGCTGTGTTCTCGCTGGTTTTCAGTCTTCCACAGCACGTGGGACCGGTGAGGTTCAGCATCCCTGTGAAGTAGACACCGGCTCGCTGCTGCTCATCTGGTGAGTGTGACCCTAGTGGGGGTCTTATTATTAAAAGCTCATAAGTATTCCTTTGTAACCTACTGGTCGCAATACTACACAGTGTAGTATTTCACCCACAATGTATATGTACACAAAGAATTGTCATAACTAATGGTAGTAACAAAATCACTGAAACTCTTACAAGAATATACATATTTGTATTATTTATCATGGCTTTTAATAGTTTGAAGCTGTTTCCAAGGCTGCCAGGTCTATAAAGGTAGATCACTGTTCAGTGTCAGCTGACTTTTATTTTTTTAAAGTATTTGCAAACCCACAGACTAAAATGTCATACCTCTTAACATGTTAATTACTTTTCAATCCAATTTTTAATTTCCAGGTTTAAAGCCTAACTATATCAGTTAGCTCTGCACTGCAAGGGTTAACCAATCTTTTATGTAAGGGGAGCTTTGTATAGGACTTTAATTTACCTGACTGGCTCCTACAGCCTGTTTCCCCCTTCTGCTCTGGCAGTCATAGGCCTGCTGACGTCATTGTGTACTATGCAGCTGTGAATTGTAAGTGAGGATGCTGAGGGACTGCCAGGGGAGCCGGTACCAGCTAAGTCAAAGACTTTTACATGGCTACCCTAGACAGGAAAGAACAGTTCATCCTTGCAGTGCAGTCGCAGCCCCAGCCCCACCGTTAGCATTTTTTTTCTTCCTCCGGTGATGGTCTTTATACCCCGTTTGTTGTCTGGTTGGCTTTTGTCATTGACACAGAATAGGTATACTAGTGGGAAAAGTTAGAGGAATATCAGAAGTTCTTTTTTTTTATGTCACAGACTTAAAGGGTTTCTAAACTTTTACCCCGTCTTTGCCGCGCGCTCCCGTCCGAGAATCCAAAACTGCTCGGGTGGCCGCAAAGCCTCCTGGGGCAGGCGCATGCGCAGTTCGTTTTTTTCGGCCGGGAGACGCAAGGTAAGTCTATGGACGCGTGAACCCGTATGCAGCCACCGGG